CCCCCTCCCCTCCCCCTCAGCGACAACATTTCGCAGATGTGAATCACTACTTTTTTTAACAACACTGAGGATTTCAGCGTAGACGTTTCAACCTAATGTTGCTGACCTCAGTTCGAACTAATTTCGGAAGCTGATTAACAATATGCGCCCCTCTTTCTCAGCTAAAATGCAAAATCGACAAACCTTCAAAGCCTCTGCCGTAGTCATATTCACTGAACTCATCTTCGTAATGACTGCTTCGCCTCCGTGGCCCTTCTGCACCATAGAGATCATACTGCGCACGTTTCTCCTTGTTCGACAAAACAGCGTACGCGTTTCCAAGCGCTGCAATAACATGCAATGCATTGGCATGCCGCATGATTTAGGGAAAATAAATAAAAGTATGTCCTCCCACAAATCTTTTAACGCAAAAATTTAAAAAAAAAGCAAGAATAAGAACTCATAATACGCATGTGACGGGCCCAATGAGAGGCTGTTCCAGTCCTGGCAAACGATAATTTTTTGAGCTCAAAGAAAAAAAAAAAACCTTTGAAAGCTTCAGTAGCACCGGGTGCTCGACATTTGTCAGGATGAAGTTGCAGTGCCAGCTTCCGATACTCCCTCTTCAGATCTGTTTCATTAGCATTTTTCTTTACATTCAAAATTTCATAGTAATCTTTGCAGTGCCGTATTCTAAAAAAATATCCCATCAATTCTTTTCCTGATCAACAACAGCACTCTCACAAACATACACGTGTAAACATACACGTGTAAACATACAGACGAAGAGAGACAGAAATACTCACAGACAAAAAAAAAATGAAGTGGTGTTCGGCGAGAGGATAAACCTCACTGCATATTAGCAAGCCTTTGATTATATTTTTGATATTTTTGATTATATTTTTGTTGTTTTTGGGTTGATTCATTTCGCATGAAACGCAATTTACGTGCAAAGCTAGCCTTTCGACAATTTCCAGTTCTTCCTTGGTGTAGTGTACGCCGACCTGTGGCCGTGCCGCTGAACGAGAACGTGTCCTCTGTTTCGGTTCGTTGACACTTGAAGATGAACCTTCATCAGCTGAAAATTACATTTCGCTTACCAATCAACGCACAAGTATTACCAAGCAAATTTTGCAGGCTTCGCTCAGCAGCCAGGCCTGTTCTCGCAAAGCTGATTCGAAAAGCACCGTCACTACCGACTCCTTTTCAGCATAAAATCTGGCACCAAAATGTTCATCATTCTAATACAAATTGAAAAGGAGAGGTAGGAAACCAGAGCACTGAAAGCTGGAAAGTATCAGTGTTTAAAAAATAACCTTTTTGAAGAATTTTTCTAAAAATCCTTTTCTTCCTCCTTTCTTCCCCTATCCCTCTTTACCTTGCTCTTATTCCTAGTCCCACAGTCATGTCGTTTCCCCTTTTGTTCCTTTCTGTCGTCTTTCTCTTTTCTATTAAGCACTGCGACCGTCATACTGACGAGGTGCCGTCGCGCGATGTTGAGCTAAGACGTATATGACTTAATGGACCGGAACGTCTTCTTATCTCATTCTCTTACCTTCTCTTTTCTCATACTGTTCTTTCATGCTGTAATCTGTCAAGGCTTCGCCATTTAGGCTTCCTGGGTCAATCTGGTTGCTGTAAAATTGGCTTACCTCCATCTGGGCATCCTCGTTCACCGTTCATTGTTGGCTGACTGCGACTTGCATGGAACTGGCTGTTTCGACTTCGTATACCCGAGTCTGCTTCGTACTGATCGTAATGACCATAGCCAGCATCTGTACCCGTTGCATGATAACCACCGTTACTACTGCCCATATTTTGTGCTTTTTTTAACAAATCTGCAAAACATACAGAATCCAGTAGGGCCCAGAAATTTTGGGGTTAAATGAATGAATCAAAAAAAGAAGCAGACCAGCATCCGCGGCAAGATGAAAACGTTCCGCATCCAAAAGTGACCAAAAAAAAAAAGATCGAGCAAAATACAGCCTGACTTGCCTGCATTTTCAAGCAGATGTTTATGGACATTGTCAGTGAAATTATGCAAAAAAATTCCAAAAAACCCCTGAGGACTGGACCTGAGATGAATGAAAAAATTTCCCCAAAAGACTGGTGACGGGTGCAAGAATGCTATGTCACAGTGAGGCAGTGTTCTCATGGCAAGTGAGTTCCTCGCCCGTCCTCGTTTCCTCCTCATCCACTGCTGATTCCGAACATGTAACCTATCAATGCAAAGTA